TGAAGAATATGTCCTTGATGCAAACCGAAGAAGAACAATACGCTTTACCGGGAGTTCTGTGCAGCAGAAAACTGCAAGTCAGTACGTAAGTTATAGTTAATCTAGCGCATGAACACCTAGCTTAAATTTAAGAAGAGGCACACGAAGCCGTCAACGGAAAACGACACTGACGGTACGTCGATATTTATAAAAAGCAGTATACTACCGTACAGAACCAATTCCCTGCACTGAAGTTTTTACAGGCAGCTTACCGAATTCTTACTTTTGCGAGGCTTTTGAATGGGATGAACAACATTTCAGGTGGTGAGTAGTCGATAAAAAATGCTACGAGTAGTAGAAAAGCATTTTCACGTGCCGTGACGTTGCACCTATCGTGATACCCTGTGGTCGACTCTACTGCAAGACAACATGCAAACGAAATAATTGCACGATGCACGAATTAAAGGCCCGGGTAGTGACGTCATCACCGCTATCTCTGGCGTTTGCTCACAACGTGCTTAGGTGGAGCATTTGATAATAGCAAATGTTGCAGTTAGTTTACTCCGGAATTGGACTATGCTGACTCAAGTATTTATCTGTTAGAAAACTAATATAATATGGACATAAAGAATCAACATATAAATTGTGGTTTAAAACAATAAGATCAAATGCTATGGAAAGTTTTTGTTCAAAATAAAAATAATAATAAGTATATCGATTTCGTATATAAATTAAGTCGCTGGAGATGCAGTCATTTTCTTCCGCGGTTTGTACTTTAATTCTGGAGGAGTTGGGACATTTAGTTTAGCACGCATTTCATCAATGTCCATTTCCCAGTACCGTTCAAAGAAAACGCACATGAAGTTTCGCGAATGCAATCCTACACGAAGTGCAAATTCAAGTTGTGAGGAAAGATAGTTCTTTGTTTGGCTGAAGTGACACAAAGGGAAATTAGGTAAAATCCATTGAAGCTAATTAAAAGATAAGTATGCAGGCCGAATAGAACTCAATTAGAACTGATTGGAAAATATGAAGCTACTTTACTGTAGATGAAACGAAATCTTATAGAACAGAGACTGGCTGTCAAGTCGCCAAAGGCGAAACGGACAATTTAAGGGGAGGTTTAAAAGGATATTAAATAATTTATAATGTAAAAAGTTGCTTACAGTGGAGCTAAACGCAGGGCTCCAAAATATCCACCAAAAAGTCCAAGTGGCAGACTGCACTGTAAACCTTCCACCCATTTAACAACAACTTCTCCAAGCATATTCGTAGGTTGATTAAGAAGAACGTGAACCAAGTCATGAATTTCACGATAACGTAGCATAACGTAGGCTAGATCGACGTCATCCATGAAGTTAACCATCATCCGTTCATCTGGACTATAATGCTTTGAGGAGTCAAAACAATATTGCAAATGAATACATAGTTGGTTAGAAAGTCTGAATAATGCCGGCCAAATGCGTTCGGGGGAAGTTTCCGCAAATACTCAAGGTCAATCGTACTGCTGCGAATGCGAGGTCTCTCACTGAAAACATACAAGACTATTGTAAACAAACTCGAGGATCTGACGTCCTTCGGGATCACTAAGCATGATCGACTGCATATGTTTGACGGCGGATGTGCCAGAAGTCTCTCCGAACAAGGAAATTAAGTCTATAATAAGTAAAACTAGTTTGAAAGTACCAGGTCTTTGGGGATGCAGAAAACATGCAATGCCCGAGCCGATAGCCAGTAGTGATTTCTGTAAAGGAGTGGTCGGGATGTGGTCATGATAAAGCTTTCCTTCGGAATTCGAATGGACCTAATCGGTAATAGATATATGAAATTTTACAGTTCGAGCTGCAAAAGAACTATTGTTTATAAATCTCAAACGGCAAAGTCTCGGGAAAAACCTTGACTGTCGAAGCATAGTAAAAGACACTAGTAAGAATTTAGGGTATTTAAAACCCGCATCATATTCACCAATAGGAGTAATGTTGGTTGGACTCAAGGTCGTCGATTTCTGATTTACTGGTTTACTAAGATACGTTCCTTCAAGCATTGGCGAGGGTATCAAGTTTCCCAGTAGACCGAAGCTCTTTGCTAACTGCATGCAGTATGGTCTTAGAAAGTAGAAAGCAAGATGTTTAGGTGCAATAATGGCAGCGATATAAGTGTATGGACGACCGCCATTCCCGCGCATATGGCAAAGCTGATTGTTGGCAAACACTTGTGCAATGCAACCATGATAGTCAATAAGTGAAAACAACTATTTTTGCAAACTTTGCTTATAAGGGGTAATTTCTACTAATCAAATTTTCCAATGGGATAAAAATGTTAATATAATATATAATTTTGTAACACTAGAACTACCCTGTCAGCACCAGCCCCGCTTTGCCCCATCTAAATAGCCGGGGCCCAAGCGGGGCAATCCGGGGACAAGAGTGAACTAAATGCATTGTACAAATGTCTCGAAATCTATTTTTTTTCAAAAAAGT